GTGGACTAAATTTTTACTACTTAAGGTAAAAAGGAAAGCAAGACAGAAGTTTATTCTGTAATACAGGCTTCTATGTCATCCAAAAGTTCAGCTGAAGCTCACAAAAGAGCAACTTTCCAGCTGGCTTTTTAAATATGTTTTCTTGGTTCTCCAGGATAGACCAGACCTCTATTTTCTCCATGTAGAAAAAGCAGCAAAAAAGAACAAAATAAAAATAAGTAAATAAAGCACCCAAAAGTACCTAGATTTCAGCCATTCCGCAGCTATAAAAAAGCCCGTTCTCCGTTCTTTTCCCAACTTGTTAGATCATTTAAAAAGGAGGAAACAGTGGCATAGAGAGCCCAAAAGCTAAAATACTAAGACAGAAGATTCTGGGTTTTTTTTATTTCTTTGGCAAACCCCCTTTATTTCTTTAGAGAATACACTTGGTATACAATCCCGATACCTCATGGAAACTCCACCAAAGAGATCCCATGTAAAATCAGTGTTTTGCTCACACAGCAATTGATGTTCTTAGTGGCAGATCAACTAATTCTGTCTCATGGACCATTAACAGAAAGGCCAAAAAAGCAGTAACAGAAAAAGCCATTTAAAAGTATGAAAAAGCAGTTGATAGACTTAAGTGTTATCATTCAAGAAGACAGAGTAACTTTCTATAGAAATCAATCAGAATTCAGTATGTCAGGCTAGCAATGTTTCTTTCAGAAGATCACACAAATAGCCTTATAGGAATGAACTCTGTATGCGTTACAACTGGACTTAACATACCTGAACCCCCCCCGGTAACAAAAGCACATTAATAATACATACATATCAAAAAGACTTGTTAAAACTTCTAAACAAGACAAAGCAGGAAAAAAATGTGTTATATAGGAAATTGTCAAGGACAAAGATCTTGTAGAAGCTTGAAAAGTCACAACACAATTAAACACCAGCATCTAAAATTTTGACACTTCCACATTTAATTAAAAAACCAACAACAAAAAAACAAACAAAAAACCCTCCCCCAAACAAACACCCCCCCAAACCAAAACACACAAAAAACACACACCCCAAAAAAACCCCAACAACCCAAAAAGTCAAACCTAAACAACAACAACAAAACATCAAACAACATAATATTCCTGAGAAAGAATTAGAAGAGTAAGACAAAGTTACTTTTGCCCAGCTCTCATGTAAGATGTATACAAGAAGTAGATATAAGGTATGATGGAAGGCAGATGTACACTGATCAGTTCAATGCAAAAGGCTTTGGACAAACTTAGCAAGAAGTATGTCCAAATTATGTTAACCAGGATTCAGGCAACACAAAAAGATTTAAGGTTTTATATTTCTCTGTTCTTATATATATCTCTTCCTGTTTTTTCTTTATACTTTACTTTCTTGAGTTCATGTTATTTAAACAGTCATTGCTCAAATCTGTAGAAGTTATTAGTACAGACCAAAATTTTAACTTTATAGTTTTTCTACTTCAAAAGCAGTAAGCTCAAAAGACACGGTATCTAGAGAACACCAATCTAATACATTACCACTACTGTATTAATTATATTTTGACTAACAGCCTAATCTTGATGTAGCACAACAAAGCCTAATTCCCAACTTCTTTGCAGTTTTGGTAAAAAGTTAAGTATCAAAACAAATATGCTTCACATTAGTGTGGAGAATCAGGCAGCTGCAGCCAAAGTTTTAAAAGGTAGTTAGGTAGGCCAAACACTGGCTATCTTAAATACAAGTCAGGTGAGAGTTTTGAATAACAAAACAAAAAGCTTGAATGTGTCACAATACTTCTATATGTGCCAGAATAATCTGGCTCTGAAGCTACTCAGAACCTACCATGCTGCCTGTAGGAGAGCATATGTATTTAATAACAATTCTTTCTCAAGGTCAAAACAATGCAGAACCCAAGTGCTGAAAAAAAATGGGGTGATGGGGAATACTTCATTCCAGATATGAATTTAGATAAATAAAAAGCATGTTTCAGGATTAAAACACTGTGCTCTTCTCCCAGACCATTAATTTAAAACAAAAAGTGCCTCCAGTGAGTTGACATTAAGGGAGCTCTTGAAGCAGTGGAAACACAAACTGTGTATTTACCTTTCAACATCATGGAGTATAACTTGCTCATCATTGCCTATAAAGAGAAATATAAACACTTAACATCATGTTCCAGTGGTTAAAAAGCATTATAGTGAAAAAAATAAAAAACAATAAATGGTTTTTTAAAATTTTCTATTTCGAAAACAAAACTGAAGCAGAGAAAAGACCAGTTCAGTTGCCAAGTGGTCAGCCCTCTGCTCGGTTATGTGAAAAGCTCCATGTGACATTTCCAGTCATGATCAAATGCACCAATCCATTCCATCTGCTACCGCTCAACAAATAATTCTACTTAACTGCGTTACTGATCATTGTTCAGTTTGAGCTTGAGTTTTGGGACATTTGCAGTAAAGAGAAAAATATTATATGAAGCAGCAGAACACCTTTAACTCTCATGCAAATATACCTTTCTTCCTGCTCAGAGGATACTCCATAAAAAGATAATGGAAGATAATGAAGAGAAATGCCGTAAGCAAAATGCACTGGGCTCCCAGCTTAAATGCCGCCAATGCACAGCGTCAGCTTTCAGGGTTTTGCAACCATTGAGAAGGCACGAACGTGACAACCAGTGTAATTTCTTTTGTATTAACAAAAACCAAGCCAAGTAACCAGACAATCATGTCACTTTTCTTTGATCACATCCATTGAATACAATGGAAACTAACCACATGCGCACAGACTAAGAGGGTCACAGCTACAAAGTAATTCCACTAGCTCATGCAGTGTTTTTCAAGCTACAGCAACAGAATTTTTTTTAAGTCTCTGCACTGAATATTAATTTATCTAATTTGGCACCTCCTCTTTAGAAATATTTAAGGAGACACACATTTATATTTAATTCAGAAGAAAAAAACAGAAAGCCCACGAAGTCATATTTTTATGCTCAGTATGTCTTTGTAGTTGCGATATCAAGTTGTGAAGCTTTCCTAATATACACCAAAGCCAGAGGTTCAGAAGGAGCAAGATTTCATGTTATGATTCTTAAATATTCAGTTGACTCAGTTTTCATTTATCCCATACACATTTCTCTCTGTATTCTGTCCCAACAGAAGAAATACGAGAAAGTTTCTCTTTTGACTAATGAGGTGTGAGATTTTTTTTATATCCACTTGCTCTTTGCACAGGCTCCTAGTTAAATCGTGCCAGCCTTAGATTACTGCAGTAGCTCATCTTTTCCATGGTACAATAAACAAGTCACTTATGTGTAAATGTCCTTTGATCATTAATTGAAATGGAAACTGCCCATTATACATTACAGGCAAGGTTTATACCTAGTAAAACTACGCTAGTGCCTGTGCATTTCACCAGTGAAAAACGTAGCCTAGTTTCTCCAGTGACAAAATTTCCTCCAGCAGACACTCCTGCTCCTCACTCTCCATACAGCATGAACACGAGAATCATTCTAGACGCTTGGCTTCAGGCCTCTCGTCATCATGGGATCAACCTTCCCTTCCATCACAAGCTCCAAAATAGGAGAGAAAGAACAAAAGGAGGGGGTGTGTGGAATAAACACTGCTTCTCTCTGGTTTGTGTGTGGGAAGAGAAGGTGGTGACAAAAATCTAACCACAAACTGCTTGATTGCTTCTGGTAAGGATTCATCCGTGCAGAAAACGTCACTGCTGTTCAGCCCAGTGGAGTTCCCACTTGCAGTGTTTTACTTTAACACAGGAGAGTTCAGTCTTCATTGAGAACAACTGGGTTGTAATTGTATACGCAACTCTCCCATTTATATTCTCTCTTATTTTGATAACTGCAGTTACAACGATCAGAAAGACAAGAAGTATCTGCCATTCCCTTCAGTTATACCTGGGCAGATGAAATACCGCAGAGCACATACAGAGGAGCACAGTTAAGGTGGACTAAACCCCCTGTCACATCAGGCCTCTACAGAAACAAATTCAGCTCCCTGTAGGTTTACTTCAGCTTTTCATACACCTAACATTAAACGCAAAAAACAAAAAGTCCATGCAGTTTACTAAGAGGGGATCTCTCATTTCAAATGCTGCTCTACTCTCAGTGTGTGTGGACAGAGAAAAGGCAACATTATTCTTCAGGGATGGGAACTTCTTCGGTATCTTGAGACAGTTTGTTCTCCAGAGATTACATGCAAAACACTGTCCACTCAGTTCCTGCCTTCCATTTTTGTAATGGCTACATGTGGTGCATGCTACACATGCACTCCTTCAAAGCAAAGAGCTTTGAAATTCCTTGGATGCAATTCAATTTGTACTGAAGTGGAAAATCCTTTCTCCTCTGCTATCAAGAGTTGCTTTAGGGAAAGGTCATCAGATCCTAACTCATTAGTCATTGGCAGCTTTATTTACAGAATGAATTGAGTTCTATGCACCTTGTGCTAGTTTCCATACTCTAATTTTTAGGGGTTTTTTGAAGTATTCTGACTTCCATGATTTGAATACAACTCCAACTTTCAGTACTGGGGGGATGATGACCAACAGATCTTAGGACCCACAGTTCTTTCAGAACTTTTAAGAATTTCCCAGAACATTGTTGAGTGAATAAATATATTTAGCCCCATTTTACTGACAGAGATAAAACAGATGGTATATCTAGGCCATGCAGCAAAATGACTCTTTACAAGGAATCCAAGAGTCAGAGCCCTTGCAGATGAGCTCTGTGAATCTTGGTGGAGCAGCTGAGTTCCTGATTTCTCCAATGGAAATAATTTCTGGCAGAGGCACAGTGTGTTTATGCAAACTGGAGAAGGAAAAAGAGATAAGAACGGCCAGTTTGTCTGTGCATCAGCTGTCACAGCTCATATAACCTGGCATCTTAGCAAAAACCCACCATAATCAATGATGTAAATCTTTAACTGCAGGTGTTAACCGCAGTGGCAAGGCACAGTCAAACCACTCTGCTGCCCTTCCTGTGAAAACAGCAGCCTCTGATAGCAGGGCCCAATGGACAGAGGGTTGAGTTGGAAATGAGAAAATACCCTTACAGCTGCTCCAGCAAGATCTGGCACAGTTCATTCCTTGAATATTCATGTAAGGTTCCGTTTGTCTGAATTCAAACTAAAGTAAAACAGACTCCAGCCCAAAATTTCATTGGAATCACTCATGCAGATACATTCATTTGAACACAGTGTGGACTGCTGTCTTTCTCATAAAACGAACAGCAGTACCCAGAATCAGAAGATAGGCATCAGTATTTGACATTTTGGGGGTTTTCTCCACCTGAGAAGCATATCTGAATCATTTCATCCTTAAAATTTGACACTATCTTAAGCTTTGTCATGCTTTTTTTTCTAAGGGTTATTATAGTTTTAACATAGCGTTGAAGGATGGGAAGCTTCCACCATTCACATGCGCTTAGAATCAATTTATAGCATTGATTTGCAGTTTACAAATCTTGGTTCAAAAAGGTAATGAAGGGCTCTGACCAAGTAGTCTCATAATATCCTAAAATAAGTCCAGCTGTATGTTAATGGACATACTGACGAAAGATACAAATTCCTGTCCATTCTATTATCATGTCAGTTAGAGGAAATGAAGTACACCAGAAAATGACACTGCATTTTGACAGTCTTGTGTCTTTTTCTTGTCAATTCAATTTTCTTTCCTACTTCAACACTTCAAAAATCAAGTGGTGAAATTCTAGGGATTATTACTCCAAAACGAGTACCTGTCCACTTTCCTTATATTAGTTTTAAGACTGAATTAAACTGTTAAAAAGTGGATTTATATTAAAAAAGATGAAGAATATCAAGGCCAATTAGAGCCCAATGTGCCAACAGTTCTAAAAGGCAGACACTTATCTAGCGAGGACTGAAATAAGATCTGAGAAAAAGTGATCCACCAATAGATGGCAATAGCCCTTCATTAGCCATCTAAGCGTGCATTAAAATCAGCTAGTAGCAGCAGAGATTTTTAAGCATCAGGCTTGAGTGCCAGAGAGGATGCAGGGTCTACTCTCAGTACAGCTAAGAGGGAGTAACAAAGACCATGTTCCACAGTCTGTAGCACAAGTAGGGGCAGACTGGACCCTGGATTCTCATGATAGCTCGAGATACGATGCGCTTACACAAGGGTTTGGGAAAAGGAGAAGCATGACAAAATTGAAAATGTGCTAGCTAAAGAATTCCCTGTTCCCAAAGAACCTTCAGCTGCTGATTAAGGACACCTTCCAGATCCTTAGGGGACTATGGAAAAGACCTTTCATGTGGGGCAGGATCTCGCTCATGACTTCTACTCTAAGGCATTCACAATGCAAGCTCCTGTGAAATCAGGGTGCTCTTCCTTCCTTACCTCCAGAGAACACTTTCGTATTGCCGCTGTTGAAAGCTAGGCAGAAGATATTAGAGTGATGCTCCCCTTTCAGCTGAACTGGTTTGACTCTTGAGTGGATGGCTTCTTCCATATGCCAAAGTAAGACCCGGCGGTCATCCCCTCCTAGAAGAAAGAAAGGAAACGGCATTACTGCCTGAGCAATGTGTAAATTGATGACAGACAAGTTACTTAACTCTGCAGTTATTCATAAAAGGCTTTGCTGAAACCCTAATTAGCATAAAAAATTTTATACCTCGCAAGGGTTTGGATATATAGACACATGTTTACATTAAGATGCCATGCAGTCAGGTATTCAATTAATATTAATAGGAAAAGTTTGGATTAAACAGCTGCCATTCTGCCAACACATAGTGACAACCTATAGCAACCCGGAGACTCAGAATTTTACCGGTATGTAAAATTCTGTAGCAAGCTGTAGACAAATTATATGCCAAATTAACATATGCATGTTGGCAAAACACTTCTACACCAACTCCTTGTTGCCAGCATCACTTATGTTATTCACGAAACAGGAACTTCTTTTCCCCTTTCCCTGACAACCGTATCTCCTCTAGCAGTCTTTGCAAAGCCTTCAAAGCATAGGTTGGCTACAGGACTGACGTGGCCATAAAAAGATTTTACTGAATCATTCAGAAGTCTTCAGCATGCACAGTTATGTCATGCTTCTAGATCTGTAAAGGTTAAGAGAGACATTTCTGAGGTGAACTCCTGACAAAGAGTAACTGGGGAAAAAAAGTTAACTCTCCCTTGCTTTACAGCTTGCTGTACTTCTTCTAATTGCTTGCCTAGGTGCAGTTCTCAGTTCAGAGCTCTATGCACAAACATACTTAAGTGCCTCCTTCTCTGTCTGGTAAACAGTCAGATATAAAATAAATATTAGACACTGTTCATGCTTTAATTGCACTAAACTATTGTTTATTAGGAAGAGAAAAAAATTCAAGATACTATTGTATTGGACAGCACTCTCAACATCAATTTTGGATGCCTGTAAAAATCTGAATAAAGCTTCTTCAAGTCTGACTCAAATATTTTTGGTAACTTAATAACAAACAAAAGAGAATGGCATCACAAGTCAAAAGTGCCACCAGAAACATGCTGATTTCAGTTAAAACATTTTCCTGCTTCTTTGCACAATCAAAAGCATAAACTCAGCGCCTTCTGAGCTGCTATCCAGAAGGAAAAAGGCATGAAACAGAGACAAAAGGAAACTGAAATTAATTGGTCTGCAGTTTACTTCAAGAAGAGATAAATGCATAAATAGAATTCATGACTACTGTTAATCAGATTTCTTAAAACTTTTCACATCATATGGTGCTATTAAGAAGTTTTCCCATGGAACTGAGTTATGTCAAACATCCTTTAAGTTAACGGTCTCTCAGCCTTTAAGGCTCCTAACAGATTTTGTGACAATCACTTTGACAGACAGTACAGCTGCATGTTATGCTTACCCATGCTCCATGAAATTTATTGTGTACTCCTCCTCCTGATTTTGTACTTCACAGAGAAAACAAGTAATACACGATAAAAAGATTTGTGATGCATTTGATAACTACTGGGAATGTGATGGGTCCAGAAAAACTCACAGTAATTTATGGTCAACTAAACTGATGGGAGCTTAGATTCCTTCCTGTCTAGAAATAGGAGAGAAAGTTGTATTTGCACCTGAGTGATTGCAGATGAGCTAGTAATAAGGAGACATAGAAATACATGACTGCTGAAACATACAACCACATTAGTCACGCTAAAATCAAGAAGTGATTGTCACGCTTTAACTTATTACTTTCCAAACCTGCCAACAGCCAGGCAATGTTATCACTACCTGGCAAACAATTTAAGCAACATTTAAGGCTGGTGAACACCAACATTGCTTCTATCAGACTACATTTATTGTCTTTCAAGACTTCTGTAAAAGACGTTTCAGGGGAAAACACAGTAACATACTGTTGTTAATTGTTACCATAGCAAACCAATTTGCAAAACCACTGCAGTAGGTCTACACATCCCCCTACCTGATAGCACAGCCACCTAGGTGTCTCACTTTAACAGCAAACTCCTATTCATTTCCACTACCCACCTAGCCCACATATGAACAAAAATAATGAAGATATCCAAAGACAACAAACATTACTGTGGTTTCCAGCACACATACAGTACGGTAAGGGATAAACTGCAACCTTTGCAGAGAAATCTTTGACAGTGTTAAAAGTTGCCACTACCTTCTTTTTTGTAAGTTCCTACACCTTAGTGCCTGTTTCCTCTGCCTCCGGCTTATTAACAACTCTTCCTACTGAATCCAAATGTCTCTCTCTTCCCAGACACCTGGGAAGAGTCCATGAGACTTTGGTACAAAGGGCCCCACTATTGAGTATCCAGCACTACAGCAGTCTGAGAACTATGTTTGCCTTGGTGCTGGCACATGTTCCACAGTTTAGGAGCTTTTAAATGCTCCCCACACTCATGCAATTCTGTCCTTTCTCCATCTATGTATTGTCTTGCACATACTTGACTTTGAGAACTTCTACACCCGTTTCATGCCTCAGTTTTATTCCTCTCATACCACACTGAGACAGAAAAGTTTAATAAAATTATAATGTTAACTGGGTTGGAAGTGTGTTCCCTTCTAACTCCAATTCAGCTATTCCAGAAATACTTCTGACTTAAGGCCAGTTCCAGCAGAAAGAAAAAGCCTTACCAACTTGTCCAGTCACAGAGGAGGATTTGTGGCAGAAAGACATTTTACCAGTCTCCACATCCTCATACAACAGAACAAGAAGTGTTAAGTCACAGGCAAATATACCCAAGAAAAGGCAAGTCTTATGTGACTGAAACCAGAAGAGGTGCAAACCAGCAAATGCAATCTCCACTATCAAAACCTGACTCTTAGAATAAGAGGGAAGAAAGGAGGTAGGGACACACGTATGGACAGGTGTACAGGGAGACAGCAAAGAAAATGTGAATATATAGAGCTTTTACGCTCTGTAGAAAGGAACCATGATTCATCAGACACAAAGTGTATGCACATTATGCAACGTAAGTTACAAGTCTGAGAATTATAGGAAACTCCAGGCCTATAGCATTCGTTCCGTACAGTTGATCAGTGAAAGCAGATTAATTAAGATGCTTTCAATTTACAGTGCATTTATTGCGCACATATGCCAATTCTACAACATGTGAAGCAGAAACCACTTAACGCCTTTCAAAAAGCACAGGACCCACTGCACAAACTTGTGATAACTGCGCAATGCTCCCCAAAAGAGAGTAACTGTGTATGGCAAGGGTATGTTCTTGACATGATACAGAGCATATACTAACAGCAACAGGTTTACTACACATCTGGGAAACCTGGATTTCGTATGAAAATACCTTAGCCACCAGGGCTCCAAACCTGGATTTTCTAGAAATTGAAGCCCCACATAAAGTCTTGAATTTGTAATTTTTCAGTTCATGGTGTCAGAAGTAGTAAGTTTGACATCTACAAAGTGGAAATAGCTTCACTTCCATCTTATTTTGCTGGTTCTGTTTAGGACTGAATGACTGACAATTTGAAAAGTAAAAGTTTGTGTGACCCAGCTAAGAATCATATGATGCCATTCTACAGTTACTTTTCAGAAGGGAATCACATTTTAAAAGGTGTAATTAGTCAAGTACCTCAGTGTTCATTATGGGTCAAACCTGCTTCTACATTCAAAATCAAAGTCCGACAGGAAGAGAAGTCAGACCAAAGAAGTATTTGTGGTCAGAGAGGCTGGAATTTTTATCACCTTCCCATATTACTCTTGATGTAGAAAAGAGCAGTATTCCAATTTTTTTTACAAGAACACATGAATGAAAAAATACATAAACACACGTTTCTTCTCCTGCCCCAAGTCACCGGAATACTTTATTAATGCTTTGGGCCTTCTGACTAAGGTTGATGAGAGACATAGGCAGGATTAAGGAATTCTACCCAGAAGATACATAACAGAACATACCTAAAAAAGAAAGCTTGCATTTCAAATCTTGGGATAGTTATCCTGAAGTAGATTCGTAAGTAGACAAACACTTTGTGTTCACCCTTGGAATCTTCTAGTTCCTGTTGACACAAAGTGGACCTCCCAGAAGAATTAAAAGCGCCATGTCTTCTTCACGGTTTGCCCGCTTCAGAATGGTTTGTGCATGCTGCACACCCCAAGATTTAAGTGGGGAAGAAAAAAGAAGGACTCCCCCCAAAAAGTTCTTTCTTTTGTTTTGTTTTGGCTTGGGTTTTTGGGTTTCTTCTTTTTTTTTTTTTTTTTTTAAAAGAAGCACGGACAAACACTATAGGTAGTATATGCCTATTCTAGCTAACTGAACAGGTCCCAAATGACTCAGCATAGCATATATTTCAGCACAAACACTGCCTCCACAGTTCCTAAACCAAAGCATTCTAGTTTTGCCCTGCTTTTGGACTAGTTCTTCCCAAAAAAGTTTCCTGATCAGGCTAACTTCTAAACAGGTAATCACTAAATTTATACACAATTAAATTTGGAAGAGGAGTGTACCTCACAGTAACAGTGGCCTACCTGTAGTCCAGGACTCTTCTTAGTCCTAAAATGGTTCGAAGGGGGCCAGAACATACCCTTGCCAAAAGTAAATCTAGTCTAAACAGTATCTGCATAGCTCATGAAACACACTTGAGCTCTTGTGTGCTAATAGAAGCATTTCAAAATCACACCAGTCAGGACTTAAACACTGCAGTTTTAAAGTGCATTAACCTTGCTGATTACGGACAAAGCTCAAGACCATTACTCCTCTTTGTCTCCTATTATACCAGGTCCAGTCACTGAAGAACCTACATGGCACGCGGGCAACACTTCCAAATCATAACATAAAAAATTTATCTTATTGCTTATATCTACTCAAGAAGTTGCACGAATCACAGAAAGTGGGATCAGACAGTATTTCAAGAAGTTGATCACTTAGCTGACCCCAGCCATGGGCAAAAGGCCAGACTGTGTCAGAATTATTCCCAGTGTGTCTAGTTTGTTCTTAAAAAACCACCACTGAGGTAGATTTCACACCCTCCTGAGGCAGCCTGTTTCAGTGCTTCATTATCCTTGCCATTAGGCAGATTATCCTAATATCTAGCCTGAGGGTGCAGTCTGACGTTACATATAATCCCACTCCCCCTTGCCATGTGCTCCTGCTATTTTCCCTCCCATTGAATTCACTGGTGATGCAGCCAGAGGGCAGGTAGGTTAAAGAAGTTGACCTGACAGAAAAATCAATTGTCAGACAGACAACCTCTCCCTCCCTATTCCTTTCCTCTGTTCCGATGCTTCCATCATACCAGCTTATGACTTTAAGTTATAAAAGTGCCCCATTACAAACAATAGAGAGGAAAAATAAGTGAATTAACTACAGGATGAAGGGGAAGTAAGATCAAACAGCATCCTAAAAATCTTTCTTCCTATAATTTAAGACCATTTCTTTGTCCTATTCCCAGTGGACAAAGAAGAGTTTACAACTTTTTGTAGTAATAATCAAAAACACTTTTATGCAGCTTAAGACTTGCTGCATAAGCACTCAGCTTTTCTTTCTGTAGACCAAATGGACCCCCCTCTTTCAGGCTTTAATTTTTCTAGATCTCTGATCATTCTTCATACCCTCTTCTGAACTTTCTCTAGTCCAGCCGCATCCTTCTCAAAGTACAGTGCCCAAAATTGAGCACAGCGCTCCATTTGAGGCCCCAACAGCGCCAAATAAAGCAGGATTACTTTACATGCTTTATCATGTCTGATGATATTTACATTGTGATCTACTATCACATTTGGATCCTCTTCTACATGACTATGGTCTAGTCTCCATAGTGTATTTGTAGAGTCGACCATTTTTATTCATGTGCTGTAGTTTGCACTTGTCCCTATCAAACCACATGCCATTTTCTTCCAGGTAACATCTCTTAATTAACTTTAAATTCAATTCCTATCCTCAGAAATTATTGCTACCTTTCCTGGTATAACTTTTAAATTTTATAATTTCTCAGACATTAATGAAAACATCGCATAGTAACTGGACCTAAGACTCCTCCTCACACAGAATTCTGCTTGATACAAAGAAACTAAGATCAAGACTACCCCTCTTTAAAACATACTCAATACACAATCCCCTTAATTCAAAAGTAATATTTCACTACCTCTTCTAAAGTCACCTCATTCCCCTGTTTTAGGCTCATGCTTCTTCAGATTTACATGGCAACCAAATGACAGATTAATTTCCAGTACTTTCTTGCATTCCTAGAAATTTATGATCATAGAAGAGCTATTCATTTTTGCATTATCTGGTAAGGGAAGAAGCAGCCGAGAGAAAAAGAACATATGCATGGATTAAGTAAGCCTCAGATTACAGTACTTCCCAGAAGTTATCTGGAAAGTGCAGTTTAAAGTAGGGAAAAAAAAGTGGGAGGTTCTGAAAAAGATACTCATGTTCGTAAGAGATAGCAGGCATGAAAAATGACAGTCAGATAAACAAATAGGAAAACATATCCACCAAACTTGAGGATGGGAGAAAGAAAGCCTATTACACAGACTAAGTAAAGATGATTTTTAAGAAGTTAAACTGCAGGAGATGCTTGGCATATCTGAGGGAAGAAGTCAGTTGCATATCATTGCATGGTGAATTTAATTTCCATGCATGGACAGTCATGTGCTTCTCAAACTGTTACCAGAAAAATACCACCACCTAGTATATAAAGTGTTGCAAAGATATATTTTGTCCAACGAAATCTTTCAATTCCATCCAGCAGCTAGTTTTAACTAATTTCAGCCCACTTACACATTTCTTATATGTTAATCTTTCCTCTTCCCTTGTGTCATTCTACAGATAGGTCTTTTCTACTTGTCACATTGCATCTTCTTCTGAGTATTCACCTCCTCCTTCCATTTCTCTCAACTTTCTTTAATTTTTGTCCTTATGCCTGTCCCTTCTTCTACCACTCCTGCCCCAAAACATTAGTGTCTCTCTCTATTTCTCCCCCTCTCTAAAGAGACACTGCTGAGTTCCACACAGGCACAGCAAAAGCCTACAGACTGGCCCCTAACTCAACTTGCTGACCTCAACTTTTTTTACTTGAAAACATGGTTAGGAACAAAATTAATTACTATTAAATGTGTAATCTCCAATTAGATTTAAAGAAGTTAAGATACCAAAAAGTTTCAAACATGCTTTCAAAAGGCTTGCTGAGGCTTGTCTACACTGAAGTTCTCTCCAAAATCCTAACAGGAAACTATCTGGAACTGTAATGTAAACCCTGTTTAAGCAGTTTGAAATGTTTACTGAAACAGTAATGGTTAGCCTTACAGACTTGTTTCTGGGAGATACATCAAAAAAAAAAAAAGCGGGACACATACCCTAAAAAAGCATTCCAGCCAATACTGATGAGAACAGCACTAATTTGGATGCAGGCTAGCATTTAAGTGGCATCAGTATAGCCATCACGAATGCACTGTATCAGCTGTACTTAAAACAGCTCTAACCAGGTCTGAGTTGTTAACAAGTCAATTAGCTGAAGCAGACTTCTCTAGGTTAAGAATATACATATTACTTAAAACTGAATGACCGAGAAGACTGCTTGCACTCTCCCTTTTCACTCCAATATCCCCATTAACTCTCTTAGCTGCTACAAGCACAGATGGAAGCATCTAACATCTCATCCTTACCTCAGCACACTGACTATTTTGAGAGAGGAGAGACCCACATGCCATCTAAGGCTTTATCTGCATTTGGAAGTCTTCTGAAGCAACTCTTCTAGAAAACTTCAGATTAGAGGCAGTTTATACCCTTCCTTTATCTTTCATCCGAACTTTCCTTTGTTCTGTTTTTTCCCGCTTTTGCTATTTCTCAGTTTCAAGATTAAGTATGACCTTAAAAAAGGAGTGTTTTGAGTGCAATTTTAATGAAGCCTGGGCTTACAATGGCAAGAAATTTAACAGAGTATCCATAAGTCTTTTGCCTTTTAATTTCTTATTCTTGAAGGAAGAACAAAGCACCTGCCTGCTGTTGCTATGTCACAGGAAGCATTCTAGATCTTGTGGTCACAGATAACGTAAAACTTTGTTAAAAAGTTACCATAATTAGAGCTCTTAATTTTCTCAGGGCATCAGTACAAGGTCAGACTTAAGGTAGTCTGTTCTTAATTATCCCAAATGTGTGCACTGCTACATATGTAACTTAAGTATACTCTTCCCAACCCTGCTTTTTTTTTTTTTTCCTCTCCTTGCTTCCTAGTCATTTCGTGACATTTAGGACGGTAGAATTCTAGTACCATTTATCTCTTACATACTGAGAAAAACTTAACCCCTGTAAACATTCCGTAGCTTTAAGAGAAGTTAGGAAATTGAAAACTGGACACAGTTTGAAAGCATTCCTTTTACCTATGCTTCTTTAGATGTCCACGTGATGGGAAATCTGCCTCCATTCTCTCACCGCACCTACCTTGACTCAGGCAGTTCGGACAAAATTAATTCTTAAAGATCCTTCCAGCTCTCAACTTTTTCTGCTTCTACCTAAAGAATGGATGTCAACATAGGTAAGTGCATCGATGATATGACAAGACCTGAAGTGCCTCCTGAGGCTTTCTTGAGCAAGAGGAATAGAAAATACTGATGGTGTTTCCATCACTAATTATGGAAAATAAAAAAGCAACAACCGATGCACTTGAGCTCAACTAGAAACACATAGCTCTACTTACTACTGGAGAAGGACCAGTACCAACCAGCATGCCAGCTCTAGCACATCTGGGAACTCTAGAATAGATGCATCAACATTCCCTTCCAACACACACACACGTATATACATACATATGTGCATGTATAAATATATATGTATATTCACAACATAAATGGATGGGTATCTCAAAAGTTGCATGTGCATATAGATAAAAGAATCCCTGACAGTAACACTAAGATCCTTCATAGACACTTATTCCAGAAATCACCGGACTTATGCTTTTAAGTTTCTTCAGGTAAGAAAGTTAAATTTAGGAAGGTCTCAGTGTATCAGCTTCCACTCTGTGTTTATAAGGTGTTTTTATTCTGCCCTTGCTTAAAGGCAATCAAACAGCCGTAATAACTTTTTATTGAACCCCCGTGTTATTTCTGGAGTTATTACTGATACCTTTGTGTGACAGAGCCCGCCTCAGCCCAGACACCACTGCAAGGCAATAAGCAGCCCGCTCAGCCATGCCCCCATCACCTTCCTCAGTAGCCCCTGTCGCTATTTACAGCCCACCAGAGGGTGGCCAGGCAAAACCGAGACCCTCTCGTCCCTCCTCCACCCCTTGGCTGGTAACCAGGCCATTACCCTCTTGCAAGTGGAGAGACCACTCTCATCAAAGCTGCTACGGCCTTACGCCAAGGAGCTCTGCAATTCCACCGAGGGCGGTTGCCCCACACGACAGGGAACGGGCCCTCCCTGCAGCAGCCCGGCCACGGGGGAGGGA